TTAAAATATTATTATTATATTTTATTAATATGTATAGTTTTATTTTATTTTATAATTTCAAATAGGAGGATTGTTATTTAGACCATTTATATATATAATATAGAGAAAATTAATCTTTTAGTTCTCTAACTTTTAAGTTACTTGTAACTTAGTTCCTCAATTATGACACTCTGTGACTCTGTCTCTCAACTATAACTTGCCTATGACTTAGTCCTTTAACTTTTGAATTACTTACAAATTAGTCCCTTATCCTTTGTTAATTTTTTTTCATTTTAGCTTATATCTCACATTAATGAATAAAAAGAGAGTATTTTAAAATAATATATGAGTATTTTTTTATCCCTCTTATTTGATAAAATTTTTTTAAAAAAATTAAAAAATAAGGATTGAGTTATAAGTAAATTAAAAGTTGAGGGACTGAGTCGCAGCGAGTCATAGTTGAGGGACTGAATTACAATTAAGTTAAAAGTTAAAGGATTAAAAGGTTAATTTTTTTTATAATATATATATTTTCCTTTAAAAGTTCGTGCCCATTCACTGATCCTTGTGCTTTCGGCTTAAGTAATTAAAACGAAAGAGTGCATTCCATTTTTGTCAAGCCTATTCAAAAAAAAGTTAATTGAAGATAAAGAGCACAATTCACAGTTTCTGTTTTTGGAAGAGACAAATTATGACGTGGAGCACTTGCTTTGTTCCTATCTTCTCCATTTGTATTTATGCAATTAAGATTACTTTCAAATTCTTTACTCCAGAAATATTAGTTAACTTTTAACATATTTTACTGAAATTAATTTTATTTAAAAAATTAATAAATTTTTAACTTTACTTCTTAAAATAAAATATTATAATATTCAATAATCTTCTTAACATTTAATAGAGGCAAAAAAGAAAAATGAATATAAAAATTATAGAGGTATCATACAAATAAGATTAAAATAAATATTTTTTTTCTTTATCTTATAAATATAACTAGATGATTAGGTTAAAGGAAAACTTTGCATTGACCAGGTTGGTTCCCAGAAAAGAAAGAAAGAAAGAAAATTAAGCCAAAATTTACTGATATTCTCTTTTGGAGGTATGTGCAAAGATCTTCTTAAATCATATCTTATTATTATTTTTAATTTTTGATAAAAATGAGTGAATAACTTGTGTTTCAATTAATAGTTGAAAAATTCAGGAAAAAAAAAAGGAATTTTCATTTGAATTGTCATCCAGAATTTCCTTGAATAATGGATGTAGTTTGAAAGCTGAATTGTTTAGGGCATTAGGAGTTGGAAGATATATGTTAGATAATTGAGGGGCACTTAGTTGAATGGGTTAAAAGAGTTGAATTAGTTTATATTAAAGTTTTGAGTTCAAATATTAAGATAAGCAGTCATATTAAATAAATATGTTAAAAGTATTTTTAAAATATTCATGAGACCAATTTTGATAATAGCTACCTCACATGATGAGAGTCCATATTAGTCTAGACAGGAACTGATAGTATCCTAGGTTTTTTAGGACATCAAATGCTGAAATTAAAAAAAAAAAGATGTATTTTAGATATCAGGGGTTAGGAGTTATACTCTTCAAAGGCTTTGAAAAATTTATATTTAACAATAATTTGACTTGTTAATCAAAGATCATTCTTGATAATAACTATATTGTACGGTAAATAATTTTTTTATAAATTATTGAGTCCTAATTTGTTGTTAATCGTAATTTTTTATTATTCATGAATATTTTTTTATTGAAAGAAATTATATTCGATGCATGATCGGATATTAAATGTGAATACTTTTCAAATGAAGATTTAAATATTAATTCATCGTATTGCGAGTAATGAGTCTTTGATGCTAGATTCAATCAACCTCATTAGTATTGTCAACTATAATCTTACACAGGACGAGTTGAAGAATTTTTTTATCACAAAAGAAAATATTGAGTGGGTGAAGAATTTTATATTAGTTTGGCGTGATTTTACTTAGCTCATTGAGTTCTTTTATGTCTTCAAGTCAAATTAATTTTCAATTACACAAAGTCAAGTCAAATAAAACCGTTAAGGATACGAAAACGAAATCGGTGCTTATGATTTTTATTGACAATTCAAACTTAACATTTTATTGAAGAAAAATTAAATTTTACATCTATCAAATTAATATATATTGGTTAATGGTTAATAGTTAATCCGATATTTCATAATATCACTCAAGGTAAACATTTTTTATAAGATAATATGTTCATGTTGAGCCAATTTGGATGCTGAATATATGAATGAATAATTAGACACGTTATTATAAGGAGTTTAGGAAACAAATCATATTATATATAACTTATGAATCTTACATTGTTTGATAAATTTTATTATATATTGAGTACATTGATTATAAATATATAAGACACATTGGGATAAAGATGATAGAAAATAAATTCTGCAAGGAATTTCATTCTTTGGGGGTTTTTTTTTTAATTTTAAATACATGGTAAGAGAGCTAGGAAGCTAAATTTCCCCGTAAGAATTAAGAGTATTATTTCTTGATTCACTGTTTTTTTTTTGAAAAATGTTTTCCCAATTTCCCATACTAATATAAAGTAATCTACTCCCTTTAATTTTATTTATAAATAACTTTCAATATGTTTTACCATAATTAAAAAAAATCTTAAAATTTATTAATTTCATCTTAAAATTTAATAATTTTTTACTTTCACCCCTAATAAAAATTGTTAATTCTCATTTTTGATATTTTTATTTAAAGTATTTAATAAGTCACTTTTAATATATTTTATTAGAATTAAAAAATTTTTAAAACTCATTAACTTTGTTTTAAAATTTAACAATTTTTCACTTTCACCCCTAATAAATATTCTGAATTTTCATGGCTGATATTTTTATTTTGATAATGACAAAAATGTAAAAAAAAAACATTAGACATTGATAAACTTTCTATAAATAGGAAAAAAATTTTAAATAGAATCAAGAGGAGTATTCAATAAAATTTAATGAAATTCTAATTCATGCTTTTTTTTTTCTAAAATAACCAGCCTCATAATAGGTCATAAATCTGGCCGAATTCTATTGACAACCATCACATATCTAATTGACTAATTGTCACTTGCATCTTCCACCTCCTCCGTTCAATTTCAATGGTAGCCGTATTCAGGGAATGTTTTTATTTAATATAATTATATATTTCGAAATTTGTATTCCAAATATTAAAATAAACTAATTCAACTTTTTCAATCAAATGAACTAAGTGTCCTGTCAATTTTTTTTTTATTTCATTTTAGCCTCCACACACGTTCTCTTTTATTTATAGTATAAATTATAATTACTTTATACATACATACATACATACATACATACATACATACATATATACATACATGTATGTATATATGTGTATATATATATATATATATATAAACATTGGATTCCTACATTACATGAAATCTTATAAATAAATTGTATTATTCATAGTTAGTGCATATCGTTTCACCTTGCCTGGACCAAAATTATAGTTTTAATAATTTACAACATAAAATCAAACACACTTCGAAGTATAATTTGTGCTAGATTTATATTGTATATTTAGATTACATTGATAATTGGGGTGACTTCTACATAATTACATGGATCTTGAAATCATATGTAATATTTTATGTTGGTTGGTTTTATTGACCAAAAATAAAATAAAAATAAGATTTTTATAACATACTCATGCTATCATAGTAGATGTGATAATTTTGGACTAAACTCGATGAACCGATTTGAATAAACTTGAAAAATTTTAGAATAAGTTAATTTAACTTTTTCAATCAAATAAGTGTCCTATCAATTTTTTCTATTTCATTTTAGCCTCCACGCGTGTTCTCTTTTATTTATAGTATAAATTATAATTACTTTATACATACATACATACATATATATATTTATTAAAACATTGGATTCCTACATTACATGAGATCTTATAAATAAATTGTATTATTCATAGTTAGTGCATTTTTTTTGTTTCACCGTGCCTGGACCAAAATTATAGTTTTAATAATTTACAACATAAAATCAAACACACTTCGAAGTATAATTTGTGCTAGATTTATACTGTATATTTAGATTACATTGATAATTGGGGTGACTTCTACATAATTACATGGATCTTGAAATCATATGTAATATTTTATGTTGGTTGGTTTTATTGACAAAAAACAAAATAAAAATGAGATTTTTATAACATACTCATGCTATCATGATAGATGTGATAATTTTGGACTAAACTCGATGAACCGATTTGAATAAACTTAAAAAATTTTAGAATAAGTTTTTCAAGTTTAATTTTTTTTATTCTATGCTTATTCAAGCCACCTAAATAAATTTAAAAAAGATTGGGCTAAGCTTGAATTTGAATGGACTTATCTTGAATATCTTTTTTATTATTTACAAAATAATATAAAAATAAGATAAAAATTGAAAATATTAATTTTTTAAAAAATAAAATTAAAATTACATAAATATAAAATATAAATAATATTTAATGATTTAAATATTCAGGTCAACCCAAATAAACTCAAAAGCTTAAAAAGTTAGGATATTTTAAATTTAATTTAAATAAATTAAGTTCAAATAAATTAGCTTCGTTCAAATTACTAGTTCCATGTTATATAGCTTTAATATATTAATATTTTTTAAAAACTAATAATAAAGAAGATCCAAACTCCAAAGTGCATACAAGCAAAAAAGTGGATTAAGATGGGTATTAAATAAAATAAAGTGGATTCAGATCGAAATATACTAAGGAAGATTAACTATTAATTAGGCTAGACTTTTATAAAGGTGTATTCTGATTTCTGACCCTAACAAATAAAAAAAGAAAAAGACTTTTATGGAGTGGACGAGCACAGTCTATACAACCCATGCTATGATGGGGTAACTGGGGACTTGTTGGAGCGCCTTTTTCTTTATGATAAACACAAAATCGTATGTGTCTGTGTCTATATGACCGGGATTTGCGACCATTTCCAATCTGATTCAGCAAAGCTGCGAAGTACGAACTTTCTCTCTTTCTCGATGGTCGCTGCATCGTCGGCTTCCTTCGCAGCAACTTGCGCGATCTCTCTCTCTCTCTCTCTCTCTGTGACAGCCATTTCTCTTGTGCCTATATAAATATATAGAGAGAGACAGACACATACACACGTATATGCAAATAGTAGCTTGTATCATATTCAATTCTTGGGTCAAATACTCGGACAGACTTTTGGCGACGACCCTTCAGTCAATTCAAACCTCCGCGTCTTCTAGTCGTTATTACTGGCAGCAGCTGTACGAGTTTCAAATCTTCACCGAAGTCTTTTACTTTTTGGCTCACTTGTTTCTGGTTCGGCTTTCCCTCGCCGGCACTTGGTTTGTTTTGCTTTTCTTTGAGGTTTGCCCATTTGGGTTTCTTTAAATGGAGTAGAAGATCAGATCTCTTTGCGTGAATCTTAATTCTGTTTAGGTATGGGGTTTTCTTTGTATCTGGGTTTCTGTTTCTGTTTCTGTTTCTTTCTTTCTTTCTTTTTTTTTTTTTTGGGCCTCTTCTGCTCATGGCTGAGCTTGACTTCAATCCTAATGGTTTCTTTTTCCTCCTTTATGCTTTTGGGTTTGGGGGATATTGGCTAATTGTATTCATTTTTTTCCTTATTGTAATGCAGAGATTTCATGTGGAGCATCATCGATTGGATGAGCATCATCTGTAGATGATGTTTTTGAACTGATGCTTGCGTGGAGAATAGGAATTTAGTTACAAGCTATAGCGGATTGCAGAATAGGGTTGAGTTGACTTATATATATGTATATTCATTATTCGTGTAAGAATAACCAAACATTTTAAAAATGATAGTCAAGAAAAACATGGGACGTGCAAAGTCAGGACTTGTGCTGATTATGGCGCTTGGGTTTTTCTTTGCCACTTATAATTTGCTATCTATGATTGTGAACAGCAAAGAATCCAATTCTGGAAGTTGGGTGGTTGATGGGTTGGAATTGTTTGATCCTGTTTTAACGATGCCTGGAAAGGTGATTGGATCAGCAGAATCTAATTCAAAATTTCATGTTGCCTTGACTGCAACTGATGCTGCTTACAGCCAATGGCAATGTCGGATTATGTATTACTGGTACAAGAAGGTAAAGGACATGCCTGGATCAGACATGGGAAAGTTCACCCGAATTCTGCATTCCGGCCGGGCAGATCAGTTGATGGATGAGATTCCAACTTATGTTGTTGATCCACTTCCTGAGGGCTTGGATCGGGTAAGGAATTTCTGCTTCTGCTGTCTGAATTTTTTTGTTTTCAACCTTCTTAGTCCAATCCAATTTTAAAATACAGAGTATCTCGGAATTGGGAAAATTTTGATCTCTTGACATATAAAAAATAGGTTTCATTCATTTCACGACTTGCAGAAGAATTGTCGGAAAATAGAAGAAAGAAGATGAAGAATCCAAAAAATGAAAATAGGATTCTGATAGTTGAATATAAGTCAGGATGCGCAAGCATCTACTGAATCTCATGGAAAGGAATAAAAAGTGGTTTGGAATATGAGAAATGCCACTTATATTCCATTTTTTTAAGAAGGTAATAGAAAAGGCCTGGTGCTGTTGAATAATGACAGCAAGGTCATGGTAATCATTGTTAAAAACATCACATCTCTCTCCCCACCTCTTCCGCACCGTGCCTTACAGGCCTGATCTTGGATGTCTATCTTTTCGTTGCTAGTGTCTAGTAGAGTTTGAATCTTCAAAAAGTGATGAGGAAATTCTATTAGTCTTGATATATTTGCAATTACATGATAAGTTTTGTTTTAATGACCTGAACTCTTTTAAAAATTATAGCGTTCAGCATCCAAACTGAATTATTAAAAAGATTTTAAGGGCCATGTTGGAATTTTAAACTGATTACCTTTCCACTTCTCCTTTACATTTCATTAACCATTAAACAAGGGGGAAGGTATGTTAATTCCTTTATATTCCATTACATTTATTCTCATTCCTTATGCTGGATGATATGACACTTTTTGTACCAATTTAACAATGAATTTCCTGAGTCGGAAGTTCTGGTTGGATCCCATGATTTTACACATCTTGGTGGTGAATTTGTTGACATGAGTTCTGATCTGCTGATACTTATCAGATTATCATAGACTTCTTTGCTCATGATCACTACTCTGTTATTCGTCATTATTGATTTTATCAAAACTTAAGTTTATTTTTGGTGCAGGGTTATATTGTCCTAAATAGACCATGGGCTTTTGTTCAATGGCTGGAGAAAGCAACTATTGAGGAAGAGTGAGTTTATTTTGGTTTTCCATATTTCTATACTTCCACTTAGAACAAAGCCTAACAGCAATACAATTCGTGATTGCTCGTGCAGATATATTCTAATGGCAGAGCCTGACCACATATTCTTAAGGCCATTGCCAAATTTGGCTCATGGAACCAAACCAGCAGGTTATCCATTCTTCTATATAAAACCAGCTGAAAACAAAAAAATAATTAGGAAATTCTATCCTGAGGAGAAGGGTCCTGTTACTGATGTTGATCCCATCGGCAATTCTCCTGTAATCATTCATAAGGTGAACTCACCTATTGCTCACATGAGTTGCCTGATTGATTGCTATCCAGATATTTATAAAAAAGCTAGAGTAAACAGAAAATAGTAATTAGGAGTAATAGAACAGAAACTTGGCAAGTAAATCATACAGGAAAACAGTATAGTGGTTGTACTTTTGCTTGCCTTGTAGCTGTTACTATACCAATACAGTTAATATCTATTTACCTATGTAGATGCTTAATCGACATAGTTTCATCTTAAGGCACTGATTCTTCTTTATCATGATCATCAGTCCTTACTGGAGGAAATTGCTCCCACATGGGTGAATATTTCGTTGCGAATGAAAGATGACCTGGAGACTGATAAGGCCTTTGGATGGGTTCTTGAAATGTGAGCAATACTTAAGAAACACTGGAGCATTTTTTTTCATAGCATATATTTGTAATTGATATTCATTTCGTATTGAAAATAATGATAGCCACTGACCAATTCTGAAACCACTAGATTTTCTGATGTTGCTGTAATTTGTCGCATGAAGGTATGCATATTCTGTGGCATCTGCTTTGCATAATGTACAGCATATTCTCCGAAAAGACTTCATGCTTCAGGTGTGCTTCACACAAGTTCTGTCGAACATTTATTTTCCTCTTCCTGTATCTTTCCTTTGCTAGAGATTATTTTGTTACTCAAAGTAGCAAATCAGTTATCAACACTAGTCTTTGTACTTTTTCAGCCACCTTGGGACTTAGATGCTAGAGAGAGGTTTATACTCCATTATACATATGGATGTGACTACAATCTAAAAGTAACTGATCCTCCCTCCCTCTTTCTATATATGTTAAACTCAGACTGAATTGTCTCTAAATTTCCTTTTTCTCATGTTTGTCCTTACTGAATATCATAGTCTTGCTTGCTTACTGGTTAGTACTAAATCAATGTATTTCCTGTTGTTTCTCTGTCCAGGGGCAGCTAACATATGGAAAAATTGGAGAATGGCGTTTCGACAAGAGATCGTATCTTATGGGTCCTCCACCAAAGAACCTTTCCTTGCCCCCACCTGGGGTTCCTGAAAGTGTGGTAAGTTATTCAATTTATAAGGTGGCTTTCCAGAAAATGATTAATAAATCCTGCATGATCAGGCGTTGAAATATTTTGAACTTGCTCTTTCCTTATCATTCTAAATTCTATTCTCCTGGATATTTGTCTCTAAAAAATGATTTCAACTTCTTATGAAGACCAAGTGACAGGAAGCTTGGTGTTAGTCAACCAGATATGTTGTCTCTAAATTTGTGGCCTGGTTGACCTTCAATATTCAAACTGTACATCGATCTGTTAGAAGTTGATCGAATCAGGCTACTTATCTGATGGATATACTTGGCTCAAAATCCACCTATTAAATTATCTTAAAATTGCACATACTTTTGATCAATGGAGCCTTTGATGGGTTGCCAATAACCCAATGCAGACCTTTTATCTTGAAACAACTGAAAGCTCAGGTCTAACCCTAGCCATATGAGCAACAAACTAGTTTTACATGTGGATATCTGATTGGAGACTAAAAAATTCTTACCCCAATAAAGTCTCTTTCTCTGTGTTTTAAATGCTGACTGGTAAATTTAATAAATAACAAAGTTTACTATGGAACATTCATCCGGTACTTATAGCGAGGCCTCTTAAGGTTCTACTTGGTGCTATGTTACTTCGATTTTTATGTGTGATATATCTTTCACGCTTTATAGTTTTAGTGTTTTACATATTTACTGATATCACAACCAAGCATAGGATTGTACATGAGAGTAATCAAGGCCTTTGTTCTGATTTACAAGGAGGGTTTTATAATTATGCCCTTTTAAATTGTATGTAGAAAAGGTTTATAATTCTTCTGTTCAAACATGTACGAGGAGAGGTTATGGGAATTTTTTTCAGAGATTTATTTAACTGACTCTGACTTTTAAGTTGTTGTTGTTGTTGTTATTATTATATGTTTTAAGCTTCCTATAAATGGCTCTAAGTTATTCTGTTTGTAAGACTTGATTTGATAATTCAGAATAATTATTTTCTACTGTCTTCTCTCCCTTCATCATCTCTCCATTTTCTACTCTTTTTCCCTTTATTTGATAATTCAGAATAATTATTTTCTAATCTCAGCTGAGCACTGTGATGTTTTTGTCATTGGCTTATTGGATGATTTGCAGGTGAGACTTGTAAAGATGGTCAATGAAGCTACTGCTAACATACCAAAATGGGAAACACTGAACAGAAGCTGATTAAAAAGGTTAGAAGGGACCATATCAAGGTTTACTTGTGTCATTGATTCTGGTGACCACAATATGAGAAGTACCAAATCCTAAAATATACAAGTTGTGGTGGTGGGTGGCGGTGGTGGTGAGAGATTAGTTTTAGCAAAGGGGAAATGTGATAGATGCAAAGAATGCTTTTGTACTTTTGTTCTGCAAATAGAGTTTTGTTAGTCACTTTCTCCATTGCTTTCAATATGTAAAAAACGCTTACAGCTTCTTACATGGTTAATTTTTTTTCCCTGCTCAGGTCTGAATTTAACCAAATGAAATGCATTAGAATTCTTTGATAAACTCTTATTTTTTTTAAAAAAAAAATATATTTAAGCTAACTACAAATGTGCATTTTAAACATTTCAAACTAAACATTTTTGGAGACTTGCAATATTCTACAATAATTGATCTTCATGGTAAAGCTGAGAGGAGGGGAAAAAGAGAGAGAAGGGAACAAAGACCGCTGATGGTGATTGCCTTCATTTCAATGCATGCAAACCAATAAGCGTATACCTGGGAACTTTGTTTTTTTTTGTTTTTTTTTTTTTGTAGAATGTATTTGAAAATGAACGGCTTCGACTAATCCAGATCAAGCCGAGTTAGGACCTATTCTGATGGAAGCTCTCCAAATAAATGGCTGCATTTCAGGGCTTAAACTTGAAATTTTTATTGAGAGGTTTAAAGCTCTCGCAATTGAACCAAGTGTTTTGTGGTTATCTGGAACTTTCATACGTAGTTGAAAATGCATGCTATTAACAGTTTTGGCCTACAATATTTATGAACTAAAAAGCCTTTTTTTTTGGCGGGTTGAATTTTGATTGGGATATTTTTGAACAATTATAGTAGTTCTTACAAAATCATGTACTTACATATGAATAAAAAAGGAATTGAGAATCAGATCTAAAAAGAAAAGAAATTTGAGAATATGGAAGTCTTTGATTTGAGTGAAACATTTTGATTGGGATATTTTTGAACAATTATAGAATTAATTCTATCAAATGCGAAAAATATTTGAAAAATGTGCACATGTGATTAACTAAATACTTATAAATACCACCAATTAAAATTGGTGTGAGTGGTAAGGGCTTTCATCATTTAACCAAGTGATCAGTGATTCAAATCTTATCCCTTGGTATGTATCTTAATTTTGTTGGAGAGGTATACCCTTTACCTTCTATACCTCAAGATAGATAATACTACTGTTGATGGAGTCTACTTATTATGCTACAAAAAAAAAAGACTTATAAAACACTGGAATATTATATTTTTGAGGAAAAAAAAAACTTCACAAAATGAATTTTCCAGTAACAATTTTTGAATTCCCAAATAAATTATCCTGCAAAAGTGGACAAGATGGTTATAAGCTTTGAAACAAAATCTTTAAATTCGAGAAAATTTTAATCATCCCATCCCAAATGTGAATTATAATTGTTAAAATAAACGGCCTTTTGTTACAACCTTGTTCTAACAAAAACAACTATGGATATAGAATTTCATTATTTTTCTATTCTATGGCTTTTTTCACTTTTGCCGCAAAAATTTAAATAGCTCTTTGAGTATTATTTGTATTGAGAGAGGAAAAAAAAAGAGCCTTTATAGAATTGAAAGAAGAAGAACTAAACATGGGAGCAAATTTGAGAATTATTTATTCTTCTTCTTTATTATTACTACTAGCATCTTCAATCATAGCTCAACCTGTGATTTTTGATATAAAAAAATATGATGGAGCACCTAATGGAGATCTGACCTCAGTGAGTATTTATATATTTAATTCTTAGTTATTGTCACATGTTTTTATGTATATATATATATATATGCTTGCTACGTATTTTTATTTTCTTAATTATATTTTACCAACATATGTTTGGCTTGTTGATTAATGTTCACAAGATCTTGGAGAGAGCATGGAAAGAGGCATGCGCATCAACAAGTGCAAGCAAAGTTTTGGTCCGTAAAAGTACATACAATTTGAGACAAATAGAGCTTAATGGTCCTTGCAAGGCTCCAATTGAGCTTCATATTGAAGGCAAAATTGTAGCACGAGAAAACCCTAATAAATTCAATGGAGATATTCAATGGATTAGATTTGGATATATTGATTCATTTACTTTATACGGTGGTGCCACTTTTGGTGGTCAAGGCTCAATAGCTAGAAAGAAAAATAATTGAGCTTAAACTTGGAATTGCAACAAGCTTTCCATGGTAAGTAATAATAAGTTATATATACACATTTCTAAACATTCACAAACATGTTGTAAATTCCTTTTTTTCTTCCTTTTGAAATTTTAATTAATTAAAACATTACAAATGTATATTTATTAAAAAAATATAAGGGTATAAATTTTAATAGAAAAATGAGAGAATTATTTTAAAATCCCACTTAAGACAATTAATTATTCCTAGATTCATTGACAATTGAGCTTAGGAGAATGACAACACATTTAATTATCAATAAACGTAGAAGTAAGTATTGTCTAAATGGGATTTGTGTGTAATTCTTCCTAAAAAAAATCTCACAATAAGGTAATTTTCTCAAATATAAAAAAAATAGGATGAGAGAGAAGATTAGATTGATTTGAGTTGACTATGTCGGACCTTAACATCTTTTTTTCTTCCCTGTTTTTGATTTAGTTGTAATCTCATAGTAATGCAAAAAAAAAAAAACAATCCTTGAATCACTGATGTACATTTTTTTTAAATAAAAAAAGTCTCTAACTTTCTTTGAAATTTCTTTCAGAATTTTGGTTTCAACTTTATGAACAATTCAATCATCCCAAACATAACATCCAAAAACAGCAAACATTTTCATGTGAATGTTTTAGGCTGTCGAAATATTACATTCAATGAGTCCTCCATTGAAGCTCCAGCAGATAGTCTGAATGAATCCACATTGGAAGATCAACAAAAGTGAAAATACTGAACTCAAACATTGGAACAGGGGATGGTTGTATTTCATTGGGTGATGGAAGTAGACAAGTGAGTGTTGAGAATGTGACATGTGGACCTGGCCATGGCATTAGTGTTGGAAGCCTTGGAGAATATGAAAAGGAAGAAACTGTGGAAGGTTTAATAGTGAAGAATTGTACTTTTAAAAACACAAACAATGGTGAGAGAATCAAAACTTGGCTTGGTACTTCAATAAAAATCCTAGTCTCTAGCTTGCGTTTTGAGAATCTTGTCATGATCAACGTTCCTGGAACCAATTCTCAAAACAGGTATTTAGTTCTCTCTCCCTCTCTTAATGCATCGATTTTCATACTATATATAATAGGGCAAAAGGGGCAAAAATGCTTTAAAAAATCATCAACTAAAAGCATTCAATAATTTAAAGTGAGAAAAAGTACAAGAATGTCCATGAAGTTATTCTTTTCAATGTATCTGTGACCATACCATTAAAAGTTATCAACGTTGCCTGTTGAATGTGGATATTAAGTTAATGGTTGGTTATATATGCACATAAAAAAAAAAATTTCATGAGTACTTCTACATTTTATCTCATTTTAAATTACTAGATGCACCTGACTTAAACTTTTTAGTTTTTTTCCCTTTTACACTATATAATATAATAAATAATATAAAATTAAATTAAATCTTAAACAGGCATTTTAAAGAATAATACATATCTACATCACTCATATTTTCTATGATTTTGCTACATATTTCTAAATAATTGTTCTTTTTGTACTTTTTTTTCTTTTGTGCACTTTGGGCAGACTCCATCAAAAGTACAAATAAGTAGAGTTACCTTCATAGATATTAGAGGCACATCAGCGACAAAGGAAGGAATAATTTCGATTTGTATTAGTGTGTGCCATGTGACGAAGTGAAACTCACTAATATTAATCTCAAATTCAATGGGACTCCTGCAATTGCTACTTGTAAGAACGTTGAACCACAAGTCTTTGGGAATGTACCAATCTGTGCTCCTCAGTGGGTATTATTTTCCTCATTAATTGAATAAAAAATGAATTCTATGTTACGGTTTTATTGTCCATTTCTACTTTTGCTATTTTCTAGTTCAAAAATTGTTGACGTATGAGCATTGCAGTAGTAGTAGGAGATAATACTTAATTTAATTTCGTCTTAAAGTGATAATGTTTTGGCGCATATCAAGTGGCAAATTTTGGAGAAGTTCCGACCAGAAAAGGAATGCAAATGCAAATAATGGGGATATATAAATAAAGAATAAAATACTTCCATCTCCTTGATGTTTATCTTTATTATAATTATAAAGCCATCTTATAATGTCTCGTAAATTAGAAGTCAATTAGACAATCTCATCTGTTTATTTTTTTTTTTTTTTTTTTGGTTAAAAGACAGATCTCTATATTATTCACTATTCCATGTTCTTCCATCGAGTCATTAAACCGTCATAAATTCAACAAATTTAATTCTTTTTTTTTGGTTAACCAATAGATTCTTCATTAACGAAAATATTTATTTAGTAATATTTTCAGCATAATTTTAATAAACTTTTAAACATTCAATTTGACATGTTTTAATTTTAAAAAAATTGTACTGAGACTTCTTGATCAAAGAGAACATGAATATGAAACAAATAACATTCAATCTATATGAACCAGATAATAATAAGACCAAACAAGAACGATACAACCCACCAATATGGTTCAACAAGGGACACAGGCCACGAAAAGTGGACAAACCCAAGCATATAAAACCTCATTTCTCCTTCGCCACCAGCACAAACAAAAGAAATCAGTATGAATAATGAAGCAAGGCAAGGAAAGGCTTAATGCAAACAAGTCATTTATATTCATAAGGACCAAGATGAAAAATAATCCACCACCCTACATATACTAGGGATTTGATTATTTGGAAGTTTTGAGCTGAAATCCAACCCGACGACGACAACGACAGACAAAAGAGTAAAAAAAAGCGTGCCATGTACCCTGTACCACATGTCATGCACAATTAACGCACTGTAAGGACCTTTACAAAGACGCAAACCACTGATTAAAGTGTGCCCCCACAATGGTCGTTATTTATCATATATATCCCGTGACCAAACACTTTCTGACACCCACTTCGTACCTAGCAACCTTCCCAACTATAAGCCTGATGATGTTTTGGCGGCAGAATAAGGGCTAGCACCTCTCTTTCATCGGCACCCGTTGATGATTGATAATGATTCTTATAGATGTGCCATTATGACACCTCCATCCGAGCAGTGAACAAACCATTGTCATGACATCAACAATCCCAGAAGATACACACCCTCAAGACGAC